TGATTCCACCACCTGGCCTCTATCGAGATGGGGGAGAAGCTTGTATGTCGACTGCACAAGTCTCTCTATGGACTTAAACAACTCCCAGAAATTGGTTTTCAAAGTTTTCAGAAGCAATTAAGAAGGCTAGTTTTGCTTAATTTCATTATGATCACTCTCTGTTTGTTCGTGAAAAAATTCTTCTTTAACTGTGGTTCTCATATACATGGATATTATGATCATCGCGATAAATAATGAAAAAGCTATTCAAGATCTCAAATTTTTCCTCCATCAACAATTCATATTAAAGACCTCAGCTATTTAAAGTATTTTCTTGGTTTGGAAGAGGAAAGATCCAAAGCTCGTATTGTTATATCACAACGAAAATACACTTTGGAGATTCTAGATGATGTTGGTTTTCATGGAGTGCAACCTGTGGAACAAAACCTGAAGCTTACAAATAATTAAGGTGAACTCTTACTTAATCCATCTCGTTACAAAAGATTGATAGGTCGATTAATCTTACAATTACTAAACCGAATATTAGATACTCTATTCTCAATCAATTTGTGCATACTCCAAGAAAGCCCCATTGGGATGCCGCTCTTATGTATTGTGAGGTATTTAAAAGGAAGTCTAGATCTTCAGTTGCTAGTCTCTTCCAATAGTTTCCTAACATTAAAGGCTTAATGTGATGCTAATTGGGCTAACTGTCCCATGATAAGGAGATCAACTACATGATATAGCATGTTCTTTGGAAACTCCTTAATTTCTTTGAAAACAAAGAAGCAGAGTACGTCAATGGCTGATGTAACTTGTGAGCTCACTTGGCTAAAATTTTTGTTTAGTGACTTGCAAGTTTCTTTGGGACCTATCAAAATTATTTTGTGACAATCAGACAACCCTTCATATTGCAACAAATCCAATGTATTATGAACGTACTAAGCATATTGAGCTTGATTGTCATGTCATGAGAAGAAAGATCTAAGCAAAGCAGATTATCACAAAGTTTGTTCCATTATCTCTCCAGTTGGTTGATGTTTTCACCAAAGCTTTAGAAGGAAATATCTTCAAGAACATAATACGCAAGTTGCACATTTTTTATATTCATGCTCAAACTTGAGGGAGAGTGTTAAGACTTGGTTTAATTTAAATCATGTATTTGAAGATTTTCAATTATTTTCGTATATTCTATTTTTGCTGTAAGTCCATAGGTTTAGGAGTTATTAGATTTGTTTTCTAATTGTACTCCTTAAACTTAGGAAAATTTGCAAGTCTATATATATATATATAGATATACTCGTGTAATTCCGTTTTGTAATATACAAAAAAATACAGAAAAGTTTATTCCTATTTTCATTTGTTCTTTGTCTCCATTAGATGATTGTTTCATTCATTCCTCGTCTTCACGATATGATCGTTCCTTTATTCCTCACGGTGAAAAGGCCTGCTCATGCTAGATGGTTACACTTATGCCTCGCATTGAAGATGATTTTTATTCTTCACTTCATTAGATTCCTGCTATATGATTGTTATTCATGTCATAACCTCATATTTTATGTTAGGGTTAAATTTGGAGGACTATTGTGATACTATTATCCAATATGACTGCTAGCATGTCATGATATCATTTCTATTACAACCAATGTACGCATGCCAAACCATCTACATCATTTTATTATTGACAGTATATTACTTGCTTCGCACTAAGAATATTGTTATTCTATACTATGCAACCATAATTATATGCTATGATGCATGATAGGTTCTGTATATTTTAACTTGAAGAAATGTGATATATTATTATTTCGTTGGAGAGGTCAATGGCCTCAAATTATTTTGTATGTGTGCAGTGGAGACATTGTATTTCAAGATGGTTTAATCCATATTACAGAGATGTTGAAATTTTGAAAAATAATAGCGTGATAGATATTTTTCGAGGCTTAACTATACAACTCTGTATCTTCGAGGTTGGTTCGTAAGCTCTCAGCATAACATCTTTTGATGTTATCTATGAATCCTCATCTCTTCAAGAAAATTTGGAATCGCCACATATTTTCGAGGCAATTTATAAGTCCTCACTTATTAGAGTGGTTCATATTTCAGAGGTTATCTATAAATCCTCATATCTCGAAAACTATTTGTAATGTATTCATCGGTTCGCGACAGCCAATATTGCTAAGACTATCTGTAAGTCCTTGTATCTCAAGATTATTTGCAAGAATTCATCCGTCAATAACCATCTCATATTCTGAGACAATTCGTAAACCCTCACTTGCTCAACAATTTCAACATAGATATTTGACTCAGAGTTGGAGAACTATTTGTTATCCATATAAATCATGTAGCATGGATGGGTCCTACATTGGCCGATTAGGCATCGATTGATTATTTTAATTGGATTGCATCGATTGAATCAAATAGTCTTGTCTTGGCTTGAGTTCGATTCATTAGTCGTATGGCCCATTTTCCTTCCTCTATATATGAATGAGCTCACTTTTAATTTATTTTACAAAGACTGGTGATTTGAATTCAAATCGCCATTTATGATACTATCTTGAGTTCACGACCCTTTGCGAACCGACGCCACTATCAATGAACATTTCTAATGTGATGCCTTTATAACCAACTTCAAGCATGAGCCACGAGAATACAACAACCGGTATATAAAACATGTAAGACAATTCAATTATTAGCTCGCTAATCAACAATTGCCACGTGGCATTAAAAAAAAATAAATGACTTATTTATCCTCGAGACCTCCATTAGAAATCTATAAATAGGCATAGATGGAGATAAATAAAATATGCAAAATTTAGTAGCTTCGTCTCACATATTCATTTCTCCTCTTGCTCATGTTGGGGCATCGAATGAGAGAGTTTAGGAAGGAAAAGTCATGGCTAGGAGAGATGAGTATGTTGATCAATATTCTGCGGTCAACGATGGGTCCTCTGCAGTCATATTTATAGTAGCCCTTGTTTTCTTCCCATTCTTTTAAAACTCTTTTTTCTACATACTTATTTTTAACCACATATTCACATAATAAAATATTCTACATGAAAACCTAAAATTTTTCTCTATTGTTTAACTTCACATTCCCAAAAAATTCACTATTTAAAATAATATTTTTTCAAAAAAATGGCCACTAAACAGATGCCTAATAACAAGAGGAATATGTATGAAATTGTTAAGTTATTATTATATTAATGCAATTTATCGAATTTAGTCCATTTTATTTAATATTAGGGGTGGTATATTGACACTACAAATTTTATTTGTTACACCACAGTTAATATTTTCTACCTATTTACTAATATAATCTTAAGTGACATAAATGACCCCACTTAAATACTTTTTTACATATAAAATGATTTATACTGTTTCTTCACTAAACCACATTTAAAAAAAAAAGCTTTTTTTTTTTTTTACGACGGTGGAACGTGCAAGAATTTGATGAAACTACCACTCTAATTCAACTGCCATAAATTCCTACAATACTATTGTTAATACCATTGTCTAAAAAAGGGACAAATCGAATGGTGAAGGTGTAGCAGTAGCAGTAGCAGTAGCCAGAAAAGGCGAATGAATGTGTTGGAATTGCAACTACACCTCAATTCATAATACAATTGCTCTATGGTTGTATTAACAAAATTGTTGTTGTTTTTTTGTGGGAAAAAAATTGTTTTAATTATATTGTATTTTAATTACAATCATGCTACACTTACAGTTTTGTTGACACTGTACGATGTGATGACAATCTGACAATTTATTTGTATAACACTTATTCAAATCAATCGCCAGATTTTTTACACATCACATAATATCAACAAAAATGTACAATCTGAATGTACAAATAGCTTGATTGTTTTAATTAAGCAATATTATTCACAATCACTGGCGTTTAACACCTGTTTAAATAGAAAAACTTGTGTCATTAAATTATGACTAATACTATTTAACACTACTTGTGTTACAATATCAGCTTAGGTGGCAGCGTCTTTAATTGAAAAATTAATCTACTTATAAAATAATGGTTGACAAGATTTGTAGATAATGTTTGATGTAACAAAATCTAGACAGTTGATTTAAAAACGATTTTTTAGATTTTTTGAAATAGATGAATGTGATAATGTCAAATAATAAATGTCAACTATCATTGTAGATGTAACATGATTGCTAAATAAATCACATAATTTAACATTTAATTGAATATATTACATCTTGTTTGGCTTTCATTAAAATTTTCAAGTTTTTTCTCTTTCTTCATCTCAATAACACATTCTTTAAAATAAAATAATATTACACACAAATTTAAAACTTTTCATTATTTTTCAACCATATATTCTCTCATCAATCACCATTTCAAAATTTATAAATTCTCCAAAATAGGGACCAAACAATGACATAATACCACTACGAGTACCGTATAGCATTATTCTTAAATTATAAATTGAATTAAATATAAGAACTTATTACTCATTTAATAGACCCTAGGATACTAACATCTAAACTGATGTTTAATACCACTAATGCTACGTAACACTATATAATAAAATTGTGGTGACCCTTAAGATTATTTATCTACTTATTACTTATTAGTCCCCTACCAAGCCAGTTCTCCAAGTAGAAAAGCAATTAAAATTTGAAATTTAATTATTGGGTTGAGAGGCAAAACATGAACATACTGTAAATAAAAGGAGAATGGTGATGATCATATAGTTTTCCATAATCCAAATTAGTTAATAGAACATCAATATGATTGTTCACAAAGCCACAAACTTCGGTATAAACAATATATTACACACACAAATTATAACAATAGGCCTTAAATGTACTAACTTTTCCATATACATCTCAAACTACAGTTGACGATGACAATCCAACTTTTTCGACGCTTTACGAGAATCAAGAATCACAGCATACGTCATTGCATCCACAAACGGTGACAGTGAGTGCAACAGAATAAGATTGAAGTCGTAAATAAACCCAAAATATCGTCCCTATCAGCATTCTTTCAGCAGTCACAAAATACTGCAGGCCTTTTGACCCTTTCTCTTCTTCTTTCTCCTTTGCTTCGGTGGCTGTAGAACAACCTTAATAGCTGCATCAAAGACACCCTTCACATTCTGCAACATTTCAGGGAAATTTATTAAAAGACATGTCGAAAACAAAGAAACTTTCCAGTTATGACCAAAAGAAATGTTCCATTAAAAAAATCAATTCACCTGCTGTGTTTTTGCACTGCATTCAATATAAGCAGCAGCTCCAATCAACTTCTTTAGCTCCTCTCCCTTCAAGAAAAATAAGAAATATGAAGTTTACTAGAGGACTTGAACTTAAAATCAAAACCTGGGCAAGGGCATAATTTTCAAGTTAAGAATAAAAATAACTCATAAGATGATTTTAGCCATAATATGTAGCCTATACCTGAGCAGTCGTGATAGGCACAGCTCCAGGGTGGTCAACAAAGAACTGTTTATCGTCCCGGAGGTCTACATGGAAGCAAAGCCACACTTAGTTAAATGCACTGAACCCAGAAAACCTCACATAAATGGCGATGACAAAAAATAAAATAAAAAAGGATTAACGGGTTCAAACACTATTAATACTTCGAATTACTAGGGACAATCTATAATTGGTCCAACATATAGCAACTGAGAAAAACATTGAACATAATCGTAAGACCTGTATCTCCACAGCCTAGACAGAGAACTATAACAAAATTTATAAATAAATAGTCAAGTTCATGTGATGTTCGAGGTGACAACATTCCATAAAAGAAAAGAATAGTTGGGCACAGTAATGCAATTATTGCCACCTACTGCCTAATGCACTTGCAGACTCCAACTCCAAGAAGAACTACGAACTATTTCTAGTTGTTTGCATATATTATATTACCACTATTTCTCATATAAAGAACAGAGCAGCAAGTTGATATAACTGCATTAGAAAAGGAGAAAATCCTGACCAAGCTTTGTCCCAACAAGAATTACTGGAACTCCAGGTGCGTAATGCCTCAATTCAGGAATCCACTGAACATCAAACAATAAGCAAACAAAACACCATTAGCATTATGCTATTTGAGCCTTTTCTCTTCTTGTTGCATAGGATAGAAGAATGCACGAAAGGGCCATATTGATTCCAAAGTGGTAAAGCCACCCTTACCTTTTTAGAGATGTTTTCATAGCTGGCCCTGCTAATGAGAGAAAATGCAAGAATAAAGACATCAGCCCCACGATAGCTCAAGGGTCTTAATCTATTGTAATCCTCCTGACCTGCTCAACAAGACAAGTGCTACAACTGTTCAATAAATGGTCTAAAGATGAATAGGAAGACATGTCAACTGAAAACAATTAACTAACCCGCAGTATCCCATAGCCCTAGATTAACAGTGCTCCCATCCACAACCACATTAGCACTGAAGTTATCAAAAACGGTTGGCACATAATCCTGTTAATATTACAAAAGAAGAAATCAAAGACCAAAAATGGAGATGCTTGATGTTAAAATACTAGCATCCTAAAATTCATAATACAATCCCCCCCACCACAAACAAAAAGAAATGCATTTACTGAAAGATTTCACTAAAAAATGAGAGAATATTCAACACCTTGTATTAAATTAGAATACTTCCACACTTAAAATGGAAAACATTCAAGCATCTATTTTGTGAACTTTTTTAATCAACTGGATTAGAGGTAAAACAGGGAGTTTGTTCAAGGCTTTACGGATTTACTTCTAAAATGTGAAATGCAATGCATTAAGCGACTTCCACAAATGGTAAAATTAATAGAAAAATGTGAAGAACCAACATTTTTATGGTTTAACTGAAATTGTGTATTATCACAACTCTTTGGTTACCAAGGCATACCCATGTCCAACAAGATATGCATCCAGCCATTTCGAAATAAACAAAACTCTCCGATATATGATACAGATCCCAAGAACTATCCTGTGTTTTAAAAAGAAAAAGATGGGCCACCTTTATATAATTTCATAGTTATAATGTGCAAAATTTCTTGAAAAATCATTACTCTTATCTTTTTCCTATTGTGACCTCTACATGGAACATCCTCAGAACTTCCTGTATTACCTTACCACGACTTCATTAACAGTGTACCCATGTTCCTGTATCTTTAGTCAAGCACTCTTATGCCCAAATCATGGCTCCTAAATTGATAGTTGACATATCATGCACCTAGATCCACAAGCATGCCCAAAAAATTTACAGCACAAGCAAAATTCGTGAAAACCCAACACTCCATGTAATTCTCAAGGACCCATTTGATAACTGAGACCTTTTGTATGTAGTATCAAAGGTCCATATTTGTTGATTAGGACATTAGTTCTCACAATGTTTGCACAAAAGCCAAAAAAAATGAAGAGGAAAAAAATTTAATAATAAGTTTTTATATATATTTCCAATTTTAAGAACTGAAAAGCACACATACCATGTTAAGAAAATGACTCCTAAACCTCATTGCCATTACCCTTAGTAAAAGGCATCTAAAGAAGAACATCATCTCTTAATGCCCAGTAGACAATTAAGGAGAGGAACCCCCAAGGAAAGAAGGGAGGAAGAAAAAAAATAGTTGCAGTCGACAACATGAGATAACCAATAAATAAATAATTCAAAGCCAAGTTTTGCAAAACTAAACTACAGCATTGGAGTTCATGAAAGATCCAAAAGTTTTTCTAATCTATGCCACCAAAAATACAGTTCAAATTAGTGAAGATTCATATGCAACTGGAGGCCGGACCAAATGAAAGAAATTATCAAACTTAATCACAGATTTAGGTTTAATCTGAGTGAGAAAAGAAATGGAGCACCTAACATTAAAAAACACACCTTCATGGACCAAGAATACAAGATCACCCCTTTCTTTCTTGGGTGACGGAAATAAAATTCAAGCCATCCAATTTCATGCTTATCTCAGAGATCTAGAGAGCTGCAATCTATAGGAATTTTGTAATGCTCCTTCCTTTTGGAAAGGAAGGTGGAAGTATTTTTATTTTTATTTTTTTTTCCCTTTTTGCAGGGACAGGAGATTGATCATAAGAAGAATGCTTGAATAACTTACCACGTCGGCCCCTCAGCCTCAATCACTTGAATGTGTATATTTTACCTATTTATTGACACAAAATGGGAGCAGGTTTGAAAAAGACAAGAGGAACCCATCTACTAGGTCCTCTTGCTATAAAGCTAATTATAGCAGGATGTTCCACCAATCATAACTTAGGAATAGAGACCCTAACCAAACACAGACTGCACTAAGCATCAAGGCCACATCAATGGCACAGGAGAACTAAGGTCAGAGGGTGAAAAGATAATAAAAGAGAAAGAAAGTGCCATAAGAAAAGAAACAATATGATACAAAAGCATGTATAGGCAGTCAGACACAATGTATTTCAAGAGGCATGGTCACAGTTTTAAAATATGTTTTCTGCAGCATTTCCAACTTGCTTAACATTTTCAAAAAGATCCCAAAGAAGATTGCTTTCATAAAAGAATTAATCCCAAGATTCACCCTTCCCTTGCTTTTTATTACTTGTCTCACCTTCTAAGAAACAAAGAGACAAGAAAAAATCTTGTCTTCATAGATGTCATGAACGGGGCAAGCTAAACTCCTTTTACGTCAAATTTTTCCAGAAATCCAAAAGGTTCAAGATATCATTATCGTATTCAATTAGAACCAAGAAAACCATCCAACTCAAAAGCACCAAAGACATGAAAATTCATAATATCTCCTACCCTAACAAATGGTGAAATAACCTAAAAACCTTCTCTATCAAGCATCAGAGTACGAGTGCAAAAATTAGGACATCAAAAGCAAAACCCAAAAATATAAATATCTTAGGAATCCATAGATCCAGCAACTAGCCCCTTCCATAACTTCCATTCCCTTTTTTAGTCGGGAACACACCCCCAAAGCACCCACCGTGATCAGGGGAGAACAGAAGACATCTTCATTTTTCCCCACCTTCATCAGCCCTTGCAGCCTTCCTTAATAAAACCCTCCAGCAAGAGAGTATGAAAAGGTAACAGTGGTTACTTTCTCCAGCAAGAAGAGTATGCTAATAGTAGATTCAGTCATTCATTCCTCAAACCTAGTAACTCGCTTAAGATTAAGAACATTTACTTTATCCTCAACTACAAACTACTTTTGATAAATTGTTTCAGTGAGCTCTTTCTAGCTCCTTATCAAGCTGTACTAAGTTCCATCTTAGAAGTTACAACTATCTTACCTTGATCTTGTTCTGATAGTCATTCAAGAATCAACTAAGGTAGGAGGTGGGGGGCAGTGTCATCCTGATTTGGACGCCCTATGTTGAGTAAGGGATAAAGCACT